AAAGCCAGGGAGTCTTACTCTTTCCCAGCCCCACACTATGCTATGTGTGCCCCATGGCATCCCTCTTTGCTCCCTTGGGGCCTGTGGCCCCCATCCAACTTGCAGCTTTACAGGCCTCCTGAATGTGGCCCCGGAGATGACTGAGCAATTGATTAAAAGCTCAAAACTAACCTTGTCCTGGCCAATTTGGAGTGTGTCTGGGATGCAATTGATATTTGTCACATTGATGATGTTTCTCTCTCTCTCAAAATAAATAAATAAATAAATAAATAAATAAATAAATATCAATAAACATACCCTATTGAGAATATCGAAAAAACATACAAAAAAAACTAACCTTGGCAATAGCATCTTCTTCAATCAACCGTATTTTTTTTAAATCTATACTCTTCTTATAGCCGACAAAAGCAGGTGGCAAGAAAACAAACCAATGTGAGAAATGTCGAGAGAGAGAGAGAGAGAGAGAGAGAGAGAGAGAGAGAGAGAGAGAGAGAGAGAGAGAGAGAGAGAGAGATGGAAAACCTCATTAGGAGAAGAGCATAGCAGGGAGAAGAGCTGACTGCCCCAGACCAGCATAAGGACAGAGTGGAGGATTAAGCCCTGAGGCTGCTGCTGGATCTTGAGCAGAGCTAAGCCTCCAGTGTGAGCTCAGGAGTACAAGGATGTGGTCTCAGATAGTTTAGGATGATTTTAGGCAGGAAGGATTTTCTGCCTTGGATCCTTTTTCCTTCCCTTTATAAGATGTCTACTCCTTCAATCTTTTCCTCAATATTTTGTGCCAGGGTTATTAGCAAAACAAAACAATGTCAACCCCTTCACAAATCGCATTCTGCTGTTTGTGACCAAAGGTTTATAGGTGGACATTGCTCTCCTAAAATGGTTCAGATGTCCTGTTGTCCTCTCCAAGGCCTTCTGCAGGCTCAGCATTGCTGGAGAATGCAGTTGCTGTTGCTATTGATGCAACAGATGTTAATGGTAGTCCTGATGGTAGTTCTCAGTTCTGTGTTCTGACGGTCCTTAGAGCTGTGGAGCCTGAGACACACAGGGAGGGATGGAAATCTTATGTAGGTGCTGATGACTCCATGAATTGTATTACTGTTGTTAATCCTCACCCCAGGATATTTTCCCATTGATATTTAGAGAGAGTGGAAGTGAGGAGAGAGACAGAGAGAAAAACATCAATGTGAGAGAGACATTGGTTGCATCCCACACAAGCCCCGTGTTAGGCCAGGGATTGAGCATGAACCAAGGTACATGCCCTTTGACCAGAATCAAACCCAGGACCCTTCAGTCTGTGGGCTGATGCTCTAACCACTGAGCCAAATGGGCTAGGGTGACTCCATTAATTTTATTGAAGGACATTGAGTCATTCTAACCAGAGCCTCTACTACTGCCCAGAGAGTCATTGGTAAAAGTCTTTGATTTCATTCCCTTCTCTGTGGAGAACTTTGCTGTCAGACTCTGCAGGTTTAATTAACACATTAACTTTTGAATGGCTCAAATCTTTTTTCCCCTTTTCTTGGTAGAACACCAGGCTGGACTATTAACTTCTCAGGGGGCAAATCTGTGAAGTGGTATGTGGAGGACACAGAGCAGCTTTGTGTGGGAATGAATGACTATACAAGAGCTGCTTGCTGCAAATCCTTGGGAGTTTCAGAGGTGCTGATATTTATAGTTTTGTTTGTTTACTTGTGTGAGTATAGCCCTCTAACTATGGATTCATGGAAGCAAAAAATAGTCATCTGATAAATTGCCTTTGTCCATTTATTGGGAAATCTGGGCATTTTACTTGGTAGAATCATCATTAAGAAATTTGCATGGTGCATAATTGAGACTTTTGCCCCGTGATCATCCACTACGTACTAGGCACTGTGCAGATAGAGAGGGATGGGGTTCCTGACATATAAAAGCTTTGTGACCTCCCATCAAAGATGTAGGTGTGGTCTCAGATAGTTTAGGGTGATTTTTAGATAGGAATTTCTGCCTTGAATTCATAGAAGACTCTCTTGAAAGGCTACTAAGATACCCTAGCTGGTTTGGCTCAGTTGATAGAGAGTAGACCTGTGGACTGAAGGGTCTCAGGTTCGATTCTGGCCAAGGGCACATGTCTGGGTTGCGAGCTCAATCCCCAGTAGGGGGTATGCACGAGGCAGCCAATCAATGATTCTCTCTTATCATTGATGCTTCTATCTCTCTCTCTTCCTTCCTCTCTGAAATCAATAAAGATATTTTTTAAATTAAAAAAGAAAGGCTATTAAGAGAGTTAAATATAAACATGTGCCCTGTAGTTTTATAGCATTGGTTACTGTACTATAGTTCTTTGGACATAAGGCCAGTGTGGATTTCAGTGTGTAGGAGAGGCTTTATGGAGAAGGTGATCTTGATCTGGGCCTTACCGGACCACTGGCAGTCACTGAGATAGGCACATCCTGAAGCCACCCCTGCCAGAGTGGGTAGCGTGAATGGAGGCATGGCGGGGAGGGGGGGGAGATGCTCAGGTGTGGATGGGAAGGAGACAAGTCAAAATGGATCTTGTGAGAGAAGAACCTGAAAAGGATGTCACTGAACTGCTGGAGAGAGGCTTGGCTTATTGGGTTACTCAGTATATCCACTGCTCCAGGGGCCTCTGGATGCTCACAAATAACACAGCAGCCCCTGGAAGAAGATAAAAACAAATTTTATGGGACATGCCTGACTGGTCCCTGGGTTTGAATCCAAGCCTGGGGGATCAATTTAAAAAGACATAGAAGGGAAAGAAATACACACATTCAGATGCTGGCATCCGGCACTTCCTCATGGAAATGAATTCCGCGTGGGAGCATGGATAGCAATCACCTGGTGTAGCCATCTGATTTCTCAGAGTTTATATATGGTTTTCGGTATACATATGGTATCAGCCTTCACGCGGAATTATTATTTTAAATCACCCTGATGCTGGAACACTGGCATAAATCTTTGCATATAAATATTAATATTAATATATATTTATATACAGACAAAGCCATACACAATGGTGTGAACTATGTCTTCTTTAAACTCATGCAAAGCAGTTCTGGGTTTTAAAAAATATAAAAGGGGAGAGGGAGCTGCAGGAGTCCTAGATCAGGTGCTTGCTGTTGATCTAGCAGTCTGCGTGTGCGAGTGCAGGGTGTTCAGGACTTCCTGGGATTACAGCGCAGGACCTGGGTCCTCCGGCTGCTTGGGTTTGAGTTAAGAGTGAGCTGCGCCCTCCTCTGTTATCTCTGTGAGGGGGGCTGTGTCTGCCTCCCTCCTTCACACTCTTAAAATGAATCAGGCATGAAATGGGCCCAGGAAAACTTTCTTCTGCAGACATAATGGAGCAGAAAAGAATAATAAGACTCGAAAGAAAGAAGCCACAGATTCTCCTTGGCTGGGTGCCCAAATGCTGTGTAGTTGGAGCCAATCGAACTGCTAGCTTTAGTAGCCAGATATCTCTGTCTTTTTTTTTTTTTTTTTTTTTTTTTTTTTGGCTGGAGGATGTGTTCTGATCCAGTGGACACAATGGCGTAGGAAGCTTTTTTAAGGGTCAGTGCTTCCTCACTAGGGCTGCCTTGTTCCTTGGCCATACCGAGTGCATCTGCAGCCCTGGTGAGTCACTTGGTGAGTCATTGGACTCTTTGTTGAGTGCTGGGGCTGGGGAAGAAGGACAAGGCTGGGCAAGCAAGGTCCCGGGTACAGTGACTCACCATTCAATTACTATGAGATTTGGCAAATGCAATGGTGGGAGTTTGGGGTTTGTGAGTGGGTTAGAACAGGCACATAGCAGAAAGACTATGTTCCAAATGATATTTTTCAAGACAGTAGCCGAGAGGCCAATGGAAGCCATGATGCCTACAGCATTAGGAGTTTCAGGGCTACCATCCGAGGACACTTCCAGAGGCACAAAAGGGTTCCATAGTGCTGCAAAGAATATTGGAGAGGAGCAGGGGTGTCATGTGGGCAAGGAAGAGCAGGAGGTAGGAGAAGAAAGACATTGGGAGAGATGGAGCAGTGGAGGGTTAGACTCTGTCTCGTGAGCAGCGTTTCTATGCAGTTGCCCTTGGAGAGTGCTTGCACGTGGACTTGAACCGTTACTAGCTATATAACCATCTGTAAAAATGGTCAGAATAACTTCATATATCACAGGTATGGGCTATGGACTAAATGAAATAGTACATGAGAAGCATTTGGATGACTAAGTAAGAACTTAGCCAATGCTGGCTCCTGCTGTAGCCTGAAGTTCTTCTGGTTACTGTTATAAAAAGTAACTTGGCCCCTCTTATCTGCAGGGTATGTTCTAGTCTCCCTAACATACCATTCAAAGCCTTTTCCAAGTTGCCCTCAGCATTTTCATCCAAATGTATCTAGATAAGCCAGGCTTATTAATATCTGTCCCTGCATATCTCACCTCTTTGTCCTATGCTGTTCCCTTTGTGAATAATGCTTGTCCTTTCGCTGTCAGTTTGAATGGAGCCATTCTTTCCGATTCCCAACCGAATCTCCACAAGGTCTGAGAAGCATCCCTGATTGGCTACTGAGCCTCCTTCCTCTGCATCCTGTTATCAACAGCTGCCTCATGCATCTCTCAATATTGCAGTCACATTCAGGTTGTGCCTTCTGCTTTTTGAGAGCGAGGACTAGATTTTGCACTTCTGTGTATTCCACACAGTCAGTGATCTGCATATGCTGGGTCCCGTGGTTCAGCTGACTTGTTCTCCAGGCAGAATGGGTTATCAATCCCAGACCATTCTACTATTTAGAGGGCATGTGATTTCCAGCAAATCACTTAATGTTCCTGAGCCTCAGTTTCCTCTCCTGTAAAATGGGGGTGTTAATATCTGACAAGCAGAATGTATGGGAGGAGTAGAGGTGATGTGTGGAGCATTCATCTGGTATGTGGCAGGTGGTCAATAAATGGTAGGTGTTCTTATTACTGTTACTGTTCTGATGAACTGCTGTTGGTGTATTCAGTGGTGCTAAGTAATTTCTTTTCTCCACAGTTATACAGCTCTGCAGAGTTTGGGAGAAGGTGGCAGCTTATCCAGGAAGGGGTTGTACCCAACAGGTTCTACTGGTGAGTCTCGCTTTATTTTGGACCTTATTAAGATGTCACCCTATAAACAAGCACTGAATTCTTTTTCTCACCTAGAGCTCTCACATGAGGACTGTTCTGGTTGAAATATGCCCACAGCTCCCCAGGGCAGGACCTGGCAATGGTGTAGTAAACATTTTAAGGGGATATTAAAGATGTATCGAGGACTACTTAATAAACCCCAAATAGATGACTGAGATTAGTGAGCAGCAGGGGCTTTGGAACTGGTGTTTTGTTCTAGTCTGATGAGACTTGTGAGACAGACACTTAACATTTTAATAGTGACATTTATTACTGAAACCATTATGCACGCATTTTTTTTACATATTCAAATAAAGCTTTTCATTGTAAATAAGTAGGTCTCCTTTAGTCTAAGAGCGGATCTTCCTCCCACTCCTGATTCCAAGGTTCCTATACCTTCTTCTTATCATTTGGGAAACAACCAGCATTCTTAATTATTTTCTTACCCTTCCAGAATATTGCATGAATTATCAAATATATTCTTAGCTCAATTGCTTTCACAAAAAGACATAAACTGGGTGGCTTAAACAACACATTTATTTCTCAGAGTTCTAAAAGTGCTGGGAAGTTCAAGATCAAAGGCGCCAGCATATTTTCTTCCTGGTGAAGGCCTGATTGTTTCAGAGAATATGGCAGGATGCTGCAGAGGGTGCCTTGGTTCTGTGTCCTCACGGGATGGAAAGAAAGAGAGGGAGCACTGTGGTCTCTTCCTCTCTTTATAAGAGCACTAATCCCATTAAAGGATTTCACACTCATGATCTCATCTGAACCTATTTACCCCCTAAACACCTCATCTCCCGGTACTATCACTTTGGGGGATCACTGCTTCTATACATGAATTTGAGGGGGGCAAAAACATTTAGCCCATAAATTTGCATTGACATAAATGTTAGCTTACACACCCTGTTCTGTGCCTTTTTTCTTTGTGTGAGAGGATGCAGTTAACAATACATGTCATCGTTTTTTTTTAATAGTTAAGTATCATTTTCCTCTAAGGATATAGATCAGATGTGAATTCTAGGCTTATTTAATGTATAACAATAGACTGTGTATATTGGTGGATGAGTGCAAGAGGAAAGTGAAATATGTGTGAGAGAGGGGGAAGATAATGGGAAGGAAGGAGACGGGAGGGGAGAGACAGACAGCAAATGATGAAGAGGCAGAGAGAGTAATATATGTATTGTCAAACCACCTGAGCCCATCTTCCTGATTACACTAGAGATGGCCTTCCTCCCTGGGCATGGTGACTACCGGTGATAAGAAGGGAAATACCACAAGCTCCTTCAGCTTTTGTGTTTCTGTGGCCTAGATACACAAAAAAAACCAAAGTATGCAACATCCTAGTGTAACTTGACATCACATGACAAACCTTTTGGAATTTACGTCCTGACCCTGCCAAAAGATGTGACTCCTTACCCGGATACATCTAATATACTCATAGCAAAGCTACTAAGGCTGTTTTCAGATGTTTGCTGCTATAAACAAGCTATAAAGCGCTAGCTCAGAGCAGAGTGTCAGTATGCCTTGTTATGTCATTCATAATCACAGGGGCAATGGCCTTTCCTGAGCCAAGGAACTTCCTGCGAATAGGGCAGTGAAAGGTGTCTCCCTTCACGCCTCCTGAAATCACACTGTCTCCCATCAGCCCTTGGATTTGCATGCATTTTGAGGAGGAATGCATTTTTATATTTCTCATTTTCAAATGCTGGTCTAAAATCCCTGTGGGAGTTGAAAGCTAGAGAAATGCATTAGAGAAATCTCCTAAAATGCTGAAAAAGTGAAAGATGGGCCATTTGCAAATAAACTGGTCAAAGATAACACATAGTGACTTTTATGTGGAACTTTTTTTTCCATCATAAAAATACAGTTATAGCCCATCTGGTATTGCTCTAACTGTGGTTCAGCATCACCTAATAACCAGGAAGTCGTGGTTTGATTCCTGGTTAGGGCACATGCCACAGTTGTGAGCTCAAACCTGTGTAGGGTGTGTAGGAGGTAACCAGTCAATGATTATCTTTTACCATTGATGTATCTATCTCTTCTTCTCTCTTCCTCTCTGAAACCAATCTATATATATATATAAGCCTAATATGCAAAGTGTCCCCTTGGGAGTTCCATCTCTCACTATGATATACACTGATTACCAGGGGGTGGCACAGAACAAAGGAAGGCCCCAGTTGTCAGTTGGCAGTCAGGAAAGAGAGGCCCCAGCCAGCAGCTGGAAGCCACTAGGAACCCTAGCCATGGATGAATTTGGTGCACTGGGTCTCTAGTAAAAAATATATTTAAGAAAGACATGTTTAACTGAAGGAGGTTTTTGTGCATAGAAGCATTCACCTCTTCTTGCTCAAGAATGGCATGAGAGTTGTTTTTGGAATCCACATGGGCTTCTCCCTTCTCCAGGAGCTCAGCTCTAGCCATCCCCGAGTCTCTCCCTCCTCGGATCCTCACTTCTCTTTGTCTCTTGCTCTTTGTGTCCCTTATTCATGAGACACTGCACCTCTGTGTGTTTTGCTTGGAAATTATAAAGTCATTTTGGGAGAGAGGGTCCATGTCTTTTTGTTTGTTTAGTCTCTCTTTCACTTGGTATTATATGTGCACAGAATGGCCTTGGAAAACAAATAAGTGAAGGCCTGCATTACTGTGGTCCTCCTTTAACCTCCAAATGGAGTTGATGCCTTTGCCAATGAGAAGGTCTGAGGGACAGATCTTTCCTCAGGTCCCTCTTCCAAAGTACTGAAAATATCTCCATGAGAACCTAGCACTAGAAAGCAGAAAGTTACAATTCACAGAGCACTGAATGGAAGAGTATTCCTACCCAGAGGGACAAAGAAAAACATTGACTAACAAATTGGACAAGGCTAAAATAAAGGACAGAGATGAGAATATTTCCCATTCAGGTGGCACATGGTACACAATATTCCATGGCTCATTGAAGGTCTTGTTTACACACAGTGTCATGAGGTGAATGGGCCCCATCATTGCTTCAGGGGGTGCTAATTGCAATCCATTCTTTTCTACTCTTTGAGTTAGGGTCTTCTATCTGAAAGCCTGATTATACGTGGAAGCCCTTTGTAACCAAATTTCATAACCGGACCATCTTTATAAAAACTTTACACATGGTTGTGTATGAATTCTACTCAATCTGACTACTAAGTAAAATAAACAGCACCCCTTTCTCTGCCTTGGGAAACAGAAAGGTACATCTTCCCCATGGAAGCCAGTGTGATCAGCTTTTTATGCAGAGCTATTTAATTTTCATAACACTTTTATGAAGTAAGCTTTGCATTATCATCATTAACAGATGGGGAACCTGTGGCATGAAGAGGTTAAGTAATTTAGCCAAGGTCACACAGACAGAAAGCAGCACAGCCAGGATTCAAATACAGCTGGTCTGGCTCCAATGTCTATGCTCTACCAATTCAGTGCGCTCTGTAGCTTCTGCCTCCTGGCCTTCTCTGCTGGCCTGGGGCAGTGAGCCCTAGAAATCCGGCCCATTCAGGCAGAGGAGTAGAGAAAAGCCAAGGCTCTTTTGGCCACCATGCCTGCATGTGTGTCTCTCTGGCTGGTCTTAGCAAATAGACCCCAGGAGTTCTTTAAGCTCGGTTGTTGTTGGTTTTTCCAGAGTGGGCACAAAACCTGGTGAATTGCACAGTGCACAATACTATTAATGAAAATCTCTTGGTCTCTATCCAGATGGTCTGTATTTTCTGATTCTGTTCAACTTCCTGGACTAGCAGACAAGGTGTCAATATATATTAGACTTACTTTTGGAAACTAGTTAATTCAAATTACATAGGAACTTTGGGGATGTCTAGGATTATTCAGAAGGTATAATGCAAAGAATCCCCTTTAATAATTTTGGCTTGGAGCCTGGTTGAGGGGGTGTGGAAGGGACTCAAGGAAACTTTCGAGTGCTAAATTGAGTTGTCACCCTGAGTAGTAGAATAGCTTTTGCCATAGAGAAAAATGAAGATCAATTGATATATTTTCCTCATCAACTAGTACACTTGAGATATAACTTATTTTGGGTGGCATTGCTATTGTGTGAAAGTAGTCATTGGCAATTGTAAAATAATTGTGGAATATAAAAGTTTTTTCTTTAATACTATCTCAGTGGTTGCTGTTGGTACTACTACAGCTAACATAAATCTAAGTATTCCTCTAAGAAGTACAAATTGCTTCCAAAACCAAGTTACATGTATAGGGCATATTATAAAACACATCTTAACACAATATTGCCCTTCAGAAATCAATTATATTGGGAGGCAGTACAGACCGGAAATTAGGGGGTTCAGAGATAGGAAGTGTGAGTTTTAGCTTTTCCATTTGCTAAGTTAGGAATCACGGGGAAGTTCCTTAACCTCTGTGTGCCTCAGTTTTGTTCTCTGAAGTGGGGGCAATACCTACTTTATTAAACTAGATGTTTCTTGTAAATTGGTTATATGTTTAGCACCTAAAAATTATCTTGAGTGCCCACTAACTCATAGTAATAATACTTAATAGTAATATTAAGAGTGGCTGATTCTACAGCTATCATTTTTATTAGCTGCCTTCTCAGTTTGGCTTTCCCCAGTTTGAGGCAATGAGGGGCATCATCAGCTTTGACTCCCCATCAACCCTGTCTGCCTCTTCCCCTGTCTGTCCCAGGATTGAATGAGTGGCCTTGCTTGGATCAGGGTTATATAAGGTGATGCATTACTTGTTTAGATCAGACACATATCTACTCTAGGAACTAAAATAGGAGATGGGGTTGAGACTCAGTCAAACTGCATGGCTCAAATTGAGGGGCCATGATTTAGATGATTCCTAAAGAGGAAACAATCTATTTGGTTAACATAAAATAGGAGGAAAGATTATTATTAGGGAAAATACAGATGGAAGGACTGATTGTCCCCAAGATAAAATTTCATAATAGGTATTCATATTTGTTAAGTAAATACAGTGGTTCAGGCACTAGA